TCTGTATCACTAGCAATCAACAGAGGTGCTTCTTATTAATTAACATTTTAGTCTGTTAATTGATTGCTAACCAATTTAAAAATTTTCTAATGATATATATATTTTTGGTATTAAGATTAGGCCTTGCTTATATCTTTATTAATAGTTTTTAATATAATAACTATAAAGAGTTATTAACCTTTAAATATATAAAATATAAAAAGTAAAAACTAAATGCAAGAATAAAAGCTCAAACTACTTTATCTTCAATCTAAATCTACTAGAGAAGTCAAAGACTCATCTAGATTGTGATAAAAAGGATATAATTAAAAGATATACTGTATTTAATTTATAATATATTAAAAATATTGATTTTGCTAATAGCCTATCCAAGTAATAGACAGAAATTATTTAAATGTAATTAATCAGATAAGACACATTGGCAAGAGTAAGTATATAGTTTACAAGTATATTTTAGAGTTCTATTAGTAATCTATTAATTCAAGAATAGTTATAAGATAATGTAATCTTTGTTTCACTTTTTCTAATTTGAGTAGTTGATACAATATAGTTTTCAAATCTGTTCATAAATAAGTTTATTAATTTGGATTAAGATTTTAACAATAGTTTGAGATGCAAGTTTGTAAGTAATATCAAACTCTTGAACAGTTTGAACTAAGGATATTGAAATAAGGCCTTTAAATATGATATCTAGAGAGAGATTATTTGATTTTAGTACTATATCTTTGAAAGTTGTATAAGTTTGAATTATATATATAAGTTTATTAGTTTGGTTGCTAGATAAGACTAATGCTAAGTTGTGAAGAATTCAGAGATAGAATTAAAAATAATATTAGTAAGGTAGTAGAGTTAAAACAAACTCTCCAATATGAAACAAAGTCTAAACTATTACAAAAAAAATAATTAGGATTGTTAAAGATAGTAAAATAGCTAGTTAATAAAAGAAGTAAGTAGGCAATTTATTAAATAAAGTATTGGTTTTAAATAATTTAAGTTAGTTTAATTTAAAGCTAATAAAGTTATGGATAGGTTTTTGATTATGGTTAAAGTATAATTAAATAGCATTTCAGTCTATTTGTTAAATAAAGAGTAACTAATCTGTATTATAGTATTGTAATAACCACATTGTTTAAATCTGAGATTTGCAAATACTTTTAATAAAGTATTTTATAGAAGATTCAACAGAGTATTGCTCTCATCAAATAATATGAAAGGGATTATAGATATTAGTATATATAAAGTGTAATAAGGGTAATATATTGTTTAACAAAAGAATTAGCTAAATTATTATAGTAGTTATTAGTATGAACTTGTACTTTATGAAAAGTAATTGTAGATTGTGATTTGAATATATTGAGTAGTATATGCTATAAACTAAATTTGATTAGTTTATTAGGTTTGTGTAAATTAATAAGTTTAGAATATTTAGAAATAATAGATTGTGAAATTAGTAAAAATATTGATAACTAAATTGTGTAAAGTAGTAGATATTGCAGATAAGATTGAAAAAAGCTTAGCTTTGTATAAAGATGGCTAAAATTATATTTTTACTAAAAATTTGTATATACTGTGATTATTGGTGTCCATCTGGACTCATCCTATACTCATTATGCAATCTTGTATGCCAATATCAATTACAGATCCATCTGTATAGAAATTAAATTGGGATGATGTAGAGTTCATATTAAAAAATTGTTTAAGCTTAGAAGTAGACTCTCCAGGCTCAAAAATCTGAGATGCAACAGAGTTGTTAATAGGAATTTTATGTAAGGTATGAATTTGAGTATAGTATTTAATTGCTGTAAGTAAATAAGAAGAAATTCTTTCAAAAAACTGAGTAGAACTAATAGCTAAAACATTAATTGTATAGCAACTACTAATTTTGTTAGAATTAAGATAGCATCTAGAGTAGGAATAGCATTGAATAAGTTAGAGAAGATAGAATTGATTATATATAGGATTGGTGTTAGTTGATAAAGGTCAAATTGTTTAGTAGAAATTTACAAAATTTTGCCAATAATAATATTATTATTGTTATAGCTAATTAGCCAAAAGTTAGATTTTTTAAATAGAGATTTACTAACCAACAGTCTAGCTGATTTTATTAAATACTAGCCTATTATATAAATTATAAAATTAAAGCTTCAAAATTCTAATTACATGATTGATTTATGATTTGATGATGCAAATTATACAAATTTTGAGTTATTAGTCAAAAAGAACAACAAGTCAGATAATTACAGTTGCAGGAACAAATTAGTTTATTCATTTAACAAATCACTTGCTGTATGAAAGGGAGTGGATTATGTGATAGTAAAATCACAAATTATATGCATATTTTGTTGCATCATAATTCTGGATACCCTAATTTGAAGTAATTAGTATATTGATGTTAATATTAGATATATATAAAATTTTATAACATTTGCACAATATAACATTATAGTTATATTATATCATGATGCATTAACTATTATTAAGGATGTTCTATAGAATAGGTGGGCAAACTCCACAAACTCCACTATTAAAAAATTAATGATTACTAATTATTAGTGAAGCTTATTTCTCATATTGCCTATCTATTCTATAGAACATCCATTATTAATACTATTACAATTTCTTGGGTAAAATCATGACTAGATAATGTACAGGTGGTAATAAGAATGTGGATAAGCCTTAAATCACACAAATTGTAATGGGGCTAAGTAGATTTTAAGGCTTGGGTTACTAAGAAACATAATATTTATTAATTCATTATCTTTGTTTATTTTATATCTAAAGATTCTTACTTGTTTATTAAGGCGTAATGACTAGAGTAAATCAAAGCTTAGAAAAAGGTTGGAAGAAAGTAAGGCAGAGTAACTAGAGTAAAGAAAAGCTTAGTTAGTAGAATAGAAAATGAGTAAAGGATATATATAAATATAAGATGCTTAGCAAATATATAGTTCTAGTTAAAGTAGCTAAGAAGAATATATAAAAGCCTTATTCTTATATATCTCAAAAGTATAAAAGAGCTGTTTTTTTGCTCTTCAAATAAAGTTTTAGATTTTATTGTCTTTAATATAGAAGTATTAAGAATTGATTTCTCAGTTGTTATTATAAGTTTATTGTCACTTTGTTATATTTATTGTTATTTCCCTTAGTTTAATTATGAAGACTCTTCATGATTGTATTATACATTTTGTTAGTACCTTATTATCCTATTACCCTATTATCTTATAAGTATTGACTTTTAATATCTGTTGTACTGATTAACTATCAATATTACTGATTTATTTAATTACGATTATATAACTTGATTTATTTACCTGATTGATTACCAGTAGATATAATTTAGTGCCCTGATCACAGATTAATTACATATCTTTATATGCTTAAGTTATTACTATTATCACATTTATTTATTATTAAAATACCTTGTGTTCTATACAAAGAACAAATAAGTTAACTATTGGAGCTAAACTCTGCTGATAGTTCTATATGCTCTCTCAAAACAATAGTAACAATACCACTGATCTAAGTGAAACTATAACAATGCCAGGGTATAGAATCAATTTTCTAATCACATGATTTTTTTGACCTAGATCATGTAATTTTGAAACAGGCTGGCCAATCGCCAATTGAATCGTATTATCAAATCTCATGACTTTTAATTCAGTAATTAACAAAAATAATAAATAAATATTTAAGGCTTGTTTTTTTTTTAAAGCATGAAAAGAAATTTAAGATAAACAATAATATATAAATTATAAGATATTGATCATGCAATTATGATCATAATTTCTGAGTCATGGTTGGCTAACTGAGTTTTAATTCGGGATTGTTGTGCTTATGTAATAATGTACAAAAAATAACAAGAAGAAAAAATTCTATAATCATAAGAGTTTGCACGATAATTATAAAATTCGGAATAAATAAATAACTATATATGATAATTTGCAGTTTATTTGATTTGGTTTATTATATGATTGATAAAAAATAGTCAAACAGATTATGGGTTTCCCAGAATATTTTTTTCAATGTGATGGGATAGCTGCTAATTGTAAAGTATATCTAATCCTTATGATAATTTTGCCTAAGATTCATGTTGCGAAATCAAGTAGTAATTTTGCTAATTAGCACAACTCTTCGCTAAAAAAAATGATTCTGAATAATTAATTTTTGCTAATTAAAATTAAGTTACAACCTATTAATTTAGGTGCTTGAGCACACACTATATCTCAAGAACACTATAATCATAGGAAAACTTTTGTATGATTGGCAGTTTAAATCAATTTAATTTTACATTATTTATACAGTTTTAAAGTACTTTTAAAAAATAAAATTATGAAGAATGAACAAAAAAAAAGTATATAGAAAGCTTTATTAGAGTTGTTGGACTCTATTATTAAAAATAATCAAAATCCCTTTTTGTTTTAGAGAAATTAGCATGATAATAATCTAATGCTATCTATCTTTAAGAAGTCACTATTATACTAACTTCTCTAAAACAATAAGAGATTTGAATTATTTTTAATAATAGAGTCTAACAACTCTAATAAAACTTTCTATATACTTTTTTCTGTTTATTCTTCATAGTTTTGTTTTTTTTAAAAAGTACTTTAAACTGCCAATTATACAAAAATCTTTCTATGAATGTGATAATATATTGTATCATTTGACAAAAAGAATAAAATTAGATGAAAGTTTGTGGTTGTAATTTGTATAAAATATATTCACTAAACTTAATGCAAATTCATAAAATTATATAAAATTATGGCAATTTGCAACCTTAACCATAATAAATCAAAGTTAAATATATTTGATAGATCGAAATTGCTTAATTATTACTTCAATTTTATGTATTCCAAAATAGCTATATAATAAATTTATTAGTGAAATAGAATTGAATAATTAAATAAATTTTTTTTAAAAAAAATTACCTATAACAACCTTGAATACAATCTAATCAATGCTCTAAAAAAAATTATCCAAAGTTTTTATCTTATAGTTAGGATCTAATGCCTACCTGTACTTCTTGTAATCATATACTTCCTCCTGAAGCATTTATATATAAAAACAAATCATATAAGACATGTGCTAAATGCAAAACTAGTAGAGCTAAAAAGAAAAATTCTGAAAAAGCAGCTGATACTAATAGTGAAAAAGCTTCTATTGAAATAATTACAATTGATGAAATTAGTGATTATATTTCTAATATGCTTGATGGATTAGAATATGATACTGCTCTATTTTCTACTTTTTATATTAAACTTGATAAAATTATTCTTAATGCTGTTGGTGTAGATGTTAGAGTAATGGCTAAATTAATTATCGATGAAATTGAAGAAGGAGATGATTTCAAATAGATGTAAGTAAACTACAAAATAAAAACATAGTATTACTTACCTCAAGTTTTTTTTTAATTCTAATCTTTAATTATCTAGTGCTACAACTGCAACAAATATTTAATCATATCATCAAGGTGTTAGTAATGTATACTTTGCATATTTTCAAAGTACTGAGATTGAGAGTAAATACAAAGACTCAAATTATAAAAGAATTGACTATTTTAATTGTGGTGGCAAATTAACTATCAAAATTGATATTTCAGCTACAAAAGTCAAAGTAATACTACAGCATGAGTTAATATATGAAAGGTCCGTTGATGTTACAACCAGTGTTAGAGATCTGAAAAAAGTTTTTTGTTCTTTGAGAACATAAATTTATAATTTTATGTTCTTAAAAATTTTTTAATGTTCTTTTAAATAAAAATTTTAATTATTACAGATTATAATAAAAAAAAAATAAAATGAAATAAGGTATTTCTATTTAATTTCTAAAACTCACTATATTTTAAATACCAAATTTTGATTACATAGTAACTTTAAACTCTAATAACTTTTTAAATTTATAATAAATATAAAAATCTATTCTAACAGAATTGTAGCTTAAACTAAAAGAAACAAATCTGTAAGACAAATTTTTTTAAAATTTATTTGTTTGTAAGTTATAAGCATTTTTATATTTATATATAAAAAGTTGATGTTTTTTGCTATTCTGTATTATAGTAAATTAAGTTTTAAAACTTAATGAAAGATATACTGTAGTTTATATTTAAATTTTACAAATAATTGTTTATTAAAACTTTAAAAATAGTTTTATTAATAAAAATTTTAAAAAATAATAATATTTAATGAAAATTACTAAGGGTACACGTAGTGTATAGTACACAGGTATTAATTTAAAAATCTGTGTAATATGCAAATCAAAACAACATATAAATCTAAAAATTAAGCCCTACTTCAGGTTAGAGTAAGGGTGCATTTAAGATTGGGTATATTATAGCCTATACCAAAATTTCGCAAGAATTTTTTTTGTTAGAACCCAAAAGGTGGTTTCATAAGCGAAATTTTGAGATATAAGTAATATTTTAGAGAAATCAATAATTTTATATTATACCTGATTGTACAATCTAATTGGCTTTTTATATACCCATGTACAAACACCCTGTGTACAAATAAAAATTGCCTATTTATATATATATATAATTCTTAAATTGTAAATATAAATAAATTATATTTGAAAATATGAAGAACTGGCTCAAAAATCATAAGCTTGCTGAAAATTAAACTTATTATAAGGTAAATCATTAATTTTTATCATTAAAAGATAATTAAGAGTATTGATATTCATTTGATTGCAAATTTTTGTTTTAATTAAATTTTGTTGTGAAAAAACTCTCAATAAAAGCATTAGAAAGTGGAAGTGTTAAAAAAAGAGAAGCCATTTTAAAAATATTAGAATATAATGTTAAAAAATTAGGAATATTAAAAAGTTTTAACAAAGCTTCATTTGGTTTTAAAGTATAATAATTAATAAGTAAAATTCGAATATATTTCCATTCTTAAACTAAATTTTCTTTTTTAATGAATGATAAATGATTAACTCTATTAAATATATATTTTATTAATTTTTAAAATAAGTTAAATAAATAAATTATTATATATTATTATTTACCTTGCATAAATTTTGCTTAAACTATAAAAATTTGCAATTATTTTAATTTCATTATTTCTATATTCATTTAATAATGTATTTGGTAAATTCCATGGATCAAAAATGCAAAATGTATCAGTAATTTTATGATCAGGAAATCAGATTTGAAGATTTTCAATTGTTGCTTATACAAATTCTTGTATATAAGATGGAATATCAGATGCTAAGAGGTTATTTTTTTCTAAAAATTGTTGTAAATAATTTCCCTATGTGGGTTCTTGATTATTTGTTTCTAAAAAATCTGATTGAATTTTTTGAATAATACTATTAATTTGAATTTTAATTTCATATAATGATACATAATTAGCTTAAAAAATAAGTGTTAAATGCTAAAGATCATTAAGAATATCAGCTAAAAAGTGTGTTGTAAGAAAAAAATCTTGATTAATCATATTATATAACATTTTTGCAGTTTTTGATTTTGTATAGTCCTCTTTAAATGCTTGAACTACTGAATTAATTATATGATATAAATTAGAAACAACATTAGATAATGAAAGCTATCATGTAGTTATTATTTTTAATAGGTGAAGTTTAGGTTCTTCTAAATGTGCTTCTATTATTTTTAAATGCTCTATTCGTGAATAAGAAGTACTAAAAGAGCTATAAAGATTTCGAACAATATCATTATAACTAACTAAATAAGGAATTGCAGATGCTGCATCTTTACTTGCTAATGCCAAATGACGAGAAATATAATAATGCTCTATAAGATATAGATTTTTTCTTTTAAGTTATGCAGCAACATCATTATTATGTTCTTATTATATTTAAAATAAATTTAATATAATTAATATATTAAAATTATATTTATATATTAAAAATATAAAATTTAATGTGCCTCACCTTAATACCAAAAAAAAAATAAATAAAATTTAATATAATTACCTAATATTACAGATGTTTCATTAGTTTCTATATTCATTAAACAATTAATTGGCAAATTTTTTGCTTATAAAAAGTTATTTAACTCCTTAACAATTGCATTTGCTGTTCTTTTTTTAAGCTCAATCATTCCCAAATAGCAATAAACTGATAAGTTTTTTGAAATATGCTTAGAAACAATTGCAAGATTCTTATTTGTTGTAATCATAGTACTTTTATCAATTATGATACTCCAAACAGGAGATTCTTGAATTTCTTGACAAATAGCTTCTTCAATAACTCTTCCAATTGCATTAATAAATTCTTGAGCTGCATGAGTATTAGAATAACTACTTTCTAATGATTCTAATAATGGATAATTAAAAGCATAACTTTCTTTAAAAATATATGATTTTTTAAGATTACTTTTAATTTGGTATTCAGTTAATAAAGCAAGATCAGTAATTTTACTTGTTGCAATAAGATTCTTAGCTAACCAATAAGTGTTCATTAAATTCTGCATAACAGATAAATGACTAATACCAAGCTGTTGAGTAAAACCTATTTCAAGACTAATTTGTGTTTCATCTTGCATTTTTATTAATTTTTAATGATCTTTTGTTTTTATATGTCCTTTGATTGATTGTTCTTTAAGATATTCACAGCCTATTACAAAATTATTTGTAAACTTTGCAGCTTCACAAAGTTTACAAAATAAAGCAGAGTTTTTTTCTTTTTGTCTTAAATATAACCAAGAGTATTGTTATAGAACAGTTTTATTTTATTAGTTTATTATTTTATCTTAGTACTATTTTATTATTTCGATATTTGTATTTTATTAGTTATTAGTTATTGTCACAGATTAAAATGAAATCTGATCAAAATGAAATTTTTCTGTTTTTTAAGGAAAATTTAAAATTTTTTGG